TTCTTCCAGAAAGGTGCACAGGACTACAGCCCAGGAGGAAAAGGAAGTGTGGCACAGGGCAGCCGGAGTGGGGTTGGGGGTGGGGGGGGGGGCTTCCCATGGGCTCAGAAAGGAAAGACCCAGAACCCGGAGAGGAGTCGCAAAAGTCCCAGGCTTCCGGGAGGGAATCGGCATCAGAAGCCCATGGAGACTCCACCAGGCAGGGCCCCGGGGCAGTGCGGGTGGGGAACGACGGGGATCCACAGCAGCCTGTCAGTGCACCATGAAACTGCCACGCCACTGCCAGGGGGGGTTCAGGGGTGGGCACGGCTCGCCAGGTGAGGGTCCCAGCTGGGATGTGCCCACCGTGCCAGGTGTCCTGCTCACCCTGGCAGGCAGCCCTCACAGGGACTCCACCTGCCTTTTGGAGGAAGGAACTTCTCAGGACAGCAGGTGCAGCCATGCGATCTGGCAGCAGAGGAGAAAACCGCGCGCGCTTCTATCTGCCAGGCTCCTGCCTCCCTCCCGCAAGCCCCCCCAGCAACTCCCTGCAGAGGCCTGCGCTGATCGCTTCCCCAGAAGGGACCGGGCAGAGCCAGGGGCTGATGGGCGGCTCAGGATCCAGACAAGGAGGCAAAGGAAGCCAGTGCCCCGAGCCCGGGGAGTCCGGCCCGACTGAGCAGGTCCCACCACCTGGAAGGGCTGGGGGTGCTCCGAGGGGCAGACTCGGCCCCGTGGGCGTCTACACCCAAGCCGCTGTGTCCCCGGCACATGGGTGCCCATGCCCCCTAATGCAAAGGAGATCCAAGGACCTGGAGCCAGCATGGGGCTCACCGGCGGTCACGGCTCACAGCGGTCAGACGTCCCAGGCCTGCATCCCGCCCGCAGCTGCACACACTGCCGTTCCGGGCGCCACCGGAGACCGCGGCCTGGCCCCTCGGGCCCGCACAGCCCCGCCCCACGGCCAGCCCCCCAGCCCCGCCGGGGGCCCACCTTGTATATGCATTTGTGGAAGTCACTGAGGATGCCCTTGTCCTCCTCCTCCTCTCGAGCCACTTCCTTTTCCTGAGCAAAGAGTCGCCGTCGGCCCGTCTTGAGCTGGGCCTGGCCCACCTCTTTGAGCTTGCTGCGGAAGCCGTTCCTGTGGGCCACGCCGTTGATGAGCCCGTTCTTGGGCTCGAAGCGAGGCAGGGGGTGGAACTTGTTGTAGTCATGCTCCGTGTGGCCCTCGAGGGGCCCCTTCCGCTTCTCCAGGATCTCCTTCTCCATCAGCACCTCCTTCTCCAGCCGCCGGTGCTCCTCCGGGGACAGGGAGTCGTAGGACAGCAGGTACTGGCAGTAGGCTTCCTGGAGCTTGGCCAGCCGGTCCTGGGCGGTTTTGGGGATGCGCAGCATGTCCGCCAGTTTGTTCCACTTTTTGAGGTCAGTCACTTGCTGCATGCCGCCCATCTCGTTAATCAGCCGGAAAAAGCAGGCCAGGTCGAGCTCGCAGCCTCCTGGGACGGGGACAAAGCACGGGGACACTCAGTGACAAGGACCACGAACGACACCCTCTTGCTCCAGCTGGTTAAGTCCGGGGCCGCCCGCTAGGTGCCAAGGATGCTGCTGGGCCCCGGGGCCAGAGCGGCGAATGGAATTGGTCCAGGCCTTCAGGGAGCTTAGTGCTTACACAAGGACGATCTGGGAGGCCACGGGGATAAATAAAGCAGGCAGAGGGGCTGGGGAGCTAAGGGGCTGCCGTCTCAGCTGGGATGGTCAGGAGAGGTGTCCCCAGGGAGCTGACAGGTAAGCGGAGGCCCGAATGAAAGGAGGCGCCCCGCCCCCAGCAGGAGCAGCATGTACCGGGGTACCCCCCACCCCCCACCACAAACCCCAAGAGTCAGGTGGAGCCAGGTGAGGAAGCAGGGGCCCGTCCCTGGAGACAGGGACAGGGCCTGGGCTGTGCTGCCCAGCTGCACCCATGTCCCAGCGATCCCCGCAACGGCTGTGACGGCAGAAACCGTACGTGTTGCGCCCGCTGTCGGTTCCCATCTCGTCCACACACGCACAAAGACTGGTTTTCCACCCCCTTGACTTCCAGGGCAAGAGGCAGTATTTGAGAGGGCAAAAAGATGGTCTGACTGTCCCTCAACCCTCTCTCTCCTGGCCCACGGCCCCCGAGAGACTGCTTACCTCAGTCTCAGGGTGGGGTGTGGGCTAGTGTTCGATAACCCCCTCGATCAACTCTCAGGACTGTACAAATGCACATCAAAAGCAAATATACTTGAAAAACGCTCATAGAGGGACTATCTATGTGGGGCCTGGAAAGCAACCTCCCTCCAGACAACAGAGGAGGAACAAAACCTTCCAGAATAACCATCCACTGGCTATTAAGGGAGTAAATATGTAACAAAATGCTAGGGAAGTTCAGCAAAAATTAGGTTTTAGGTCTTTGGAGCGTGTGGATAGATTTATAAACAAAGTGAAAGAAGCTGAGCTCCTGTGGACTCTGACAGCCTCCTGGGCATCGTGGGACCACGAGGTGGGTGCCCCGGGCAGACTGTGCGGGAACAGGTCCCCCAGCCCGTCAGACACCAGGGGAGTCGGCAACTGGAAGGTCATTAGCTCTGCTGGGTGAGATCAGTGAGGAAGCTCGCCCTCCTTGGGCAGGAGAGGCCATAAGGCGGAGATGCCATCACTCGCTTCCGGTCTCCAGCTCAAAGTGGGGAGATGTGGGGCCGGCGGCACAGTGCCAGACTTGCAGAGGCGGACAGGGAAGGGAGTCCCCTCCGCCAGCCACAGGCACTCAGATCACAGGCTGACTGGGGAGGCGGCAATCCATACCTTTGTGTTTTCCTCTATGGAGAGCATAATCCAGCAGCACCTGAAAATTTACATGCTGCTTGGAAATCGCCATTCCACGGACTCTTCACCTGCTACCGCTGGGCCCATTTGCAGGGCCGCGAGGCTTCCAAGCGGCCAAGTGCCTCCCTCACCCCTGCTCCCCGAGGCACACCTGCTCCCCCAGGGGCTGGGAACAGAGGCAGAAGGAGCTCCTGTACCGGGAGAGCCTGGAAAACTGCTTCGAAGATGTTAAGCCCCTTGCCCTGCAAGGCGGCCAAGCTCGGGCCAGTTGAGCACCCCTTTCAGGGATGGGGACAAACAAGGCTTTACGCTGCTGGGCAGCAGCAAAGACTGCAGACACACGCACCGTGGGGACGCGTCCACCCAGCCTCAGGCACTGCGTGAAGGAGTCAAGACCAAGAGAACCTACTCTGGACGAAAGGTTGCTGGCTGTCGTTACGTCACCTGATTCCCCCACCATCCCCGGAAGAACCACGGTGCCCCTTGCACGGGGTGGGGCTCAGACATCTCACCACAGCCCGGAGGGCCTGGTGCTGTTCAGAGGACACGCGGGGTGCAGCCGACACCAAAAGCTCACGCCTGCTCAGCCCGCTCCCACAACCCCGAGTCGGGATTCTCACTCAGGCATCAGTTCCTGCAGGCACCTGCTGAGAAGGTAAGGACGCCTCCCTCGCCTCACCCCTGCAGGGAGCCCTGACGGTCAATCCCTGACACGTCAGTGGCAGTTAAATGGCTCCTTTCCTCACCGCCTTTACAAAATCGGGACCCCTGAAACGGAGGCAGGAACATGCCCGTTTCACAGGTCTGGAGCCGAAAGGGAAAGGGTGTGAGACCTTCCCCAGCCGTCCCCAAAGCAAACCCAGCCCAACCCAGACAGAGGGTGAGAACCCCAGAGGGACGAGCAGCTTTCTGGGAGGAAGAGGGACCCGGGACATCGGGGGCCTGTACGTGGGCTCTGGGGGCCACGGCCCTGCAGCTGCCGGGACACGTGCTTGCACGGGGAGCCACCGAGGTGAGCTCCGCAGTGGGCTCAGTCAGCCCTCAGGAGAACCTCAAACCCGTCCCCCGATCTGTGGCCTCTGACAAGGCCCTGCCCGATCACCAGAGACAGTGATGTGTGAGGAAAGAGGAGGAGGACAGTGAGAAAACAGGCTGACCTGTGTCACCCAAACGTGCACGTGTTCAAGCCCGAGTTCCCAGTGCCTCAGAAATGGGACTGCATTTAGAAACGGGGTCTTGAAGGAGACGAGTGGGGTGAAATGAGGTGTCTGGGCGGGTCGTCAGCCAGTATGACCGATGTCCTTACAACCAGAGAAAAGGACACCAGGGACGAGCGCACAGAGGGCGGCCCGGGGGCTACCAGGTGGGCCCGCACAGGGGCGGCGGGGGCGGGCGGGCCTCACCTATGAGCGGGAGCTCGTCCATGGTGATGCCCTGAGATCTGAGGTGCTTCTTGATGCAGGCCAGCCGCTGCACGTTGGGGCCCCAGCGCCGGCCCAGCTTGTGGATGTGCTGAATCTGCGTGACAAACCGCATCTCGTCGTTGAGCTTGCACTCGGGCCGCCAGTCCGGAGGCGGGATCACCCTGCACATGCCGTACTTCTCCACCTGAGCGCGGACCGACTCGATGTAGACGAGCGGGTCGTGGAACTCCTTGGCGGACGGCCTGAGCACGGGGATCTCGTCCATGGCCGCCCAGCCGGCCCGGCCGCCCCCCTTGTCGGGCTTGGCCGCCGCCTCGTGCGGCTTGTGCAAGGGCTCCGTTTGCGAGGTAGAACGATTTTCACAGGAGGCGCCGTCCGACTTGCCGTGTGCTTGTCTGCCCGGCGTGCTCTTGCCGGCCGCGGCCCGCTTCGGCCGGCTCCTCTCCGAGCTCCGCTCGGGCACCTCCTTCTTGGCGTGGCCGGGCGGCGGGGCTCTCTCCGCGGGGGCGGGGGCCGGGGCCGCGGGGACCGCCGCGGCCGCCTTCCTGCCGGGGGCTTCGGCGCAGCCGGCCGACCCTTTCATCTTCTTGGGGGGCGACTGCGGCTTCTCGGGCTGCTGGGCCTCCTCCAGTCTCCTCTTGGAGTTCCGCAGCCCCTCCCTCAGCTGCCGCCCCCCCACCTCCTTAGTGCATGACTTTGGGTTCAACCTGCCACTGACCTTGAGGCCATTGACGGCGTGCCCGGTGGACTTGGACGCCCCCCCGAGGGATAGCACCTGTTTGCGGGTTTTTGCATTGCTACTTTCGGTTTTCCCTGAGATTGTGTGGTTGACGGCGGAACTGGGCTTGTGGGGATTGGGTTTGGTTTCCTTGACCAGTTCTCTCTTGGCTTTGGTGTATGTGACAGTCCCCTTAGTCACCGTTGCAGTGTACTTCACAGTTTTGGACGGTGAAGGTCTGACTTCGCGCATCTTTTTGGCACCGGTCGCACTTGTACCCAGAGATGACGACATTCGAGTGACTCCGTTTACCTTCGAAACCTGGGAGGCGGCAGAGGCAGAGGGGGAGAGGCGAGAAGAGCAGAATTAGTAACCTTTCCAAAAGGGTGACCTCGCGGCACGCGGTGACGAAACCGAGCTGGCCGCCGGCTCTCGCGAAGGGGGAGGTGCGGGGCCGTCGTCAAATACCGTACGCGGCCGGGAACTGAAGACAGAGAGACTGCGGTTCAGACACAGGCCTATCCTCCTACACAAACACACGCGGCCCGACCCGAGTGCCCGCGGCACAGATTCCGGGGCATATTTTCACATGCGTGTTAGGTGGCTCTTCCAGAAAATCAAGGTTTCACCATGACCACCTGTCCACTCGCCTACCAGTCACTTGTCACAGGTTAAGGACACTTATAGGAGCAAACCCCTGCCCATTTAGGGGAAGAGGGGACAGACGGACACAGGGACACACACACACACACACACACACACACACCCCTGTTCCGAGAAAAGACGTGCTCGCCACTCTGCTCCACAGAACAGCATGCTCTGCCCACAGAATTTTTAAATCTATGTGCTAAAAAAGGAAAGATACAAAAATACCACAAAAAGAAAAGAACAAGCGCACTCATGTGGCCCGGCTCCCGTGCAGGTCGCAGGCCAAGCCCAGACACGTGACTGCCAGCCCCTGGCATCCGTCTGCCCCGTCACCTTTGACACTGGGCCCCGGGGACCGCCTCGCCGGACGCACCTGACCTCTTCCACGAAGCAAAAGATGCCAGTCCCTCCTCTGCATGGGCAGAGCTGGCTTCCCCACCCTCGACAAAACCTCCACATCCGGTTAGAACCTGTCTCAGCCGGCTCGCAACTTGGACACCACAGGAATTCTATGACACATAAAAGTCCCTCTTGTCGGGGCGCCCGGGTGGCTCAGTCAATCAAGCGTCTGACTTTGGCTCGGGTCACTATCTCACAGTTTGTGAGTTCCAGCCCCGTGTCAGGCTCTGTGCTGACAGCTCAGGGCCTGCGGCCTGCTTCGGATTCTGTGTCTTCCTCTCCCTCTGTCCCTCCTTCCTGCTTGTGCACTCACTCTCTTGCTCTCAAAAATAAACACACACTAAAAAAAAATAAAGACACCCTTGCTTATAAAGGGAAACCAGAGAGTGACGGGTGCACACTGGAAATGCGAAACTTCCAGAGAATGATGAAGGCCCAGCCAGAAGCCACTGCTGGGTGCAGTGCTCTGTGACCATCACGTCACAGCCCTGTTTGCTGTGGCTGCTGCTGGCCTCTGACAGGTCACTAACATCTTGGGCATCGATCTCTCATCTGCACCAAGAGTTCAAAACGGGAACTCCGAGGTTCCATAAGCACCCCCACCCCCAAAAGAGGCCAACTAGAAATCACACAATCAGCAGGAAATGGAACAACTACAGCCATTGCTTCTCACCGGTAACCCCCACGAGGAGGTTGACTGGATAGAAGGAGCCTGTGTTCCCAGGTCAGAGAAGCTGACCGACCAGCTGTGGTCACGCAGGAGCACATCCTCCCATCACAGCACAAAGGTCGTGTGTTCCCAATCAGCCCCCAGTGCTCCCACGGGAATCAGGTTCCCCAGGACAGGGCCCGTGTCTGTCTGAGTGACCTCTACACTACGTCCAGGGAAATGCACTCAGCCCAAGTGGGGGAAAACAAACACAAAACCAGAACTTTCCCATCAGTGACTCTCAGAACCCGTAGATCACCGGGCCCCACCCCCGGGGTTTCCTAGACCACTAGGTCTGGGATGGGGCCCGTGAATTTGAATTTCTAACATGGTCCCAGGTGATGCTGACGCCGAGGCAGGAACATACTTTAAGAACTGAAACAAACCATCGGTAGAAGATTCTGGAAACAGAGAAAGAAGGGTATTTCTCTATGTGCCACCAGTTACACGCAGTGCAATCAAAGCCATAACATCTTGGTAAGAGGCTGTGTTCCAGAAGCCAAGCCTGGGGCATTCAGGGAACCAGGTTTCTGGTGAGGCAACCTGGACCTCTGGACTCCAGGCCCCTCTGGGAGGCCGAGGGGCAGACCCAGGACTTACGGTCAGGTCCACCACTGCCCACCACCCTACAGAGAGTACAGAGAGGCAGGACTGACCAGATCAGGTGGGGGAGAGAAGAGAGTGGAATGAAGAAATGGGAAATTAAAACAAAACAGCAAACAGCCTGGCAACAAGAAGTTAAAAATAAATGTATACAACCGGGGGTGGGTGAAACTTCCCAACGTGGGCACCACTCCTACCTGGAATAAAAGGTAAAGTGAGGGACACAAAGATCTCTAGTTTTTCATGGTGTTTTTCAAATGCTTTCATTAGCTCAAACCAAAACGAGCCACTTAGGATAAAACCAGAAACCGCATATACATAGTCCTGCTGTGGCTCCAAGAAACTTTTCCGTCATCGAGACAGAGAGAGACCTCAGGGATCCAGCATCTTCAGAGAAGGATTCCACTGCCCAGAAAATAGAAGACACACCCGTTAGGCCTTTGATCTCTCCTGAACCACTGAGAGGACGGCCTGTTCCAACTCTTCACCCAGCTCAAAATAAAGCTGATTCTGCAGCCTAACCGCCCCGACCCTCTACCCAGACTCTGATCTGATCAGTGTGGGCGGGAGCCCAACAGCTCAGTGTTCCCGTAACGATTCTGGCCCTGCTCCTGCCCAGTATTAGGGTTCACCCAGGGGAGACTGGAGAGCCAGAGTCAGAATCTCTCAGACTCTACATCCAAAAAAAAAAAAAGCACAGGGGCCTTGAATGGATGCATTCTGCCCCCTTGGGGGCACCTGATGGCCTTTCCTGCTGTGCTAGGTTATGGGGAGGTACATTTTCCACAGGGCAGAATTCTAGAGAAGTATTTCACCGTCTTCAATGGCAAAAAGAATCCCCCCTTCTTGTTTACGTATTTCCGTAAACTTTAATATGGGTGGTTCCTGCCAAGATGTGCAGTGAACTGCCCTGCCCAACCAGAAGAGCGAGCTCCTCTGTTCCTTTGCTTCCTCACCATGCTTACAGTCCCCTTCAAAAGCCGCTGCCCAAACCCTATGCGTGCAGGTCCACACATCACAAGCTCAAAGACTAAATGCATCAACCTCACAACTCACTGAACTCAATGAACCTGATTGAGAAATCACCTACGGAGACGGGAAAGGACGTGTCTCGTTGACCGTATTTCTTCCTCCCACCCAGCACACCTGTGTTCCGCCTACAGCAGAGGTCACGTTCTCCCAACCCAGGAACCCACCTGTCCGCACACACATGCCTATTCCTTGGCCCGTCTTGGTCTTTCGGGGTCCAGTGCTCAACTGTTACCAAAGAAAGCAAAGGAATGGTGGTGGAAGGCATTGTTTTACCCTGCCTTGGAGGGTTTCCTCCCACCCACCACCTTATCAAAAAAGGGCAAACACCGAGTTTGAGCTTAACAAAACACCCAGGTCACTCAGCCAGCTCACAGATGTCACTGTGCACACCTGAGGAAGTACTTACCCAGAGCACGTGACAAAGAGGTCACTTAGCTCACTGGAGGCCTAACGCAACGTGCTGCATGCAGCAGAACCTTCCAAGGTGCAAGAGAAACACTGCGGTTGAATAACTACAGCTCTCCAAGCTGTTCCTTCTCTGGGCTCTGGCAGGGACTTCTGCCTTTTGCATCCCTCTCCCCCTAAACCCACCTAGCTCTGCAGGAGGTGGGATGTCTGCAGCCTGTTCTCCCTGGCCCACCACCGCCCACCCACCACCGTAGCTCAAGCTCCTCCGGGCCCACAGCCATGAGGTTTCATGGCAAAGAAGTCCGAGCCAAGTTCACAACCAGGAATCCTGTCGTCAAGCTCCTGTTCCCCACCAGAGGGAGCTGCTGAGTCGGGAGCCTCTGGTCATCCTTTCAGAGCTGGGAGGCTGGGGACAGCCCACTTGGACTTTAAGACTTGGATTAAAAACAAAGAGCCTGAGATGCACAGAACTGCACCAGACAGGCGGAGGGGAAGGCCTCCTGGTGCAGCAGACCCCTTCGTGAGAGAAAGGGTAAGACCCTAGTTAATGAGCGCAGGACCCTCCCAACAAAAAGGCAAGGCTGGGTTCTGGTAGGAGCCCCCAACCCTTTGAGAGCACCTGCTCCCACACTACAGGTGACTTAATGGAGTCCTTAATACCATGCCACCAACACCTGCAAATCCAACTACAAGCACGACCCGCTGAGCGGCACGGCTAAAACCCTGAACGTCTTACAGTGCAGGCGATTTTCTGACCTTCTCTCTGGATGTTCCTATTTTCCAGAACTTTAAAAAACAAAACTACTCCTAATTCTTTAATCAGAATTTAAACCCCCTCTTTGAATCTTTGAGGCCAACACATTTGCAGCAACCCCTGTACAGCTTATTGTGAGGACCCAACCTCCAAAGGGAACAACGGAGCCCAGCAGATCTTCTGCCAAACGTGCCCACGGGCTGCCTGTAGGAGGCGATCGTTTCTTTCACATTGTGGCTCAGCCTCAGCACGATAAATGAGGACAGTGACCGCGAGTGGTGTGGCCCAACAATCCACATCGTGGCTTACCAACCTCACAACATCTACAAAAGCGAACACCTCCTCACGAGGCTCTTGGAAACCAACTTTTTTTTTTAAAATGTTTGTTTATTTTTGAGGGAGAGAGAGTGAGCACAAGCAGGGGAAGGGCAGAGAGGCAGAGAGAGAGAGAGAGAGACAGAATCCCAGAATCCCCAGCAGGCTCCAGGTTCTGAGCTGTCAGCACAGAGCCAGCTGCCGGACTCGAACTCACTGTGACCTGAGCCAAAGTCAGAGATGCTTAACTGATTAACTGACTGAGCCACCCAGGTACCCTGAAACCACCATTATAAAACGCTCTCTAGGTGCATAAGGTTCTTTGGTTTTACCGTCCTGCGTGTGCTAATCTTTTACTGCATTTAAGCTGAACTGCTAGGTGAAGGAACCGAAGAGGAAAACATCAGCTGCTCCTGTGTCCAACACTCAGCACATGTCCAAATCATCCTGCCAGTGGCCCTGACGATCCCAGGGCAGTCACACACGCATGACAGACACCGTGCTTCTGGTACCACAAAGGCGAGAGAAGCCTGGCAAGGCCCCTCATGCTGAGACACAGCCACGGGGGAGGTTATTCCTGGGCTCCGAGGAAGCGCAGCGAGCACATGACATTGTGCAAGGTAACGGGGAAGGGGCCGTTTCAGTACAAAGGGCAAGTGAGTTAGCAGAGGGTGCCTCCGGCCACATCAGAGCAAACAGGGTCAAGTCCCTGGGGAGCGGCACCTCCTCAACACCACACCCCACACCTCCCACCACCGCTTGACACGATTCACATTCACCCTCTTCTTTTGGGGCGAACCTGAAGAAGTTAATCCTATTTAAAATTAAAGACCCACATATCCTCTGGCCCCAATCTTTTCTGCAGGTGAAAGATGAAAAGGTCAGATTCTAGTCATTTCCATCAGGCAGTTACAAAGGAATCTACAACGTGCTTTCATTGACCTTATTTTCTCTGTATTTTAAATACTGGGATGTGGCAGTTTCTAATTCGTCCTTTTGTTTATCCCAATATCACGGGGTGGGGGTGGGGGTGTCAGTGTGACTGCATCCAAATGAACAACAGGGCCCAGGAGCGTTAAAGATCTTAAATTTCAGTGGAGGTCCTGGTTAGTGCCAAACAGGAACTGGAGAGCTGGCGCCCTGGGCCAGACAGAGAAGGCCGAGGACACAGAGGAGGAGGGGAAGGGGTGGGGGGAAGAGAGCCCTGAGCGCTGCCCGCGGACACCCCACCTGCAAAGACTGACCCGAGCAAAGCACGAGAGCCAGGTCTCTGCAGTCGCTGGGTGACAGGAGGCTGATCTGCACGGGGACCCGGACCTCTCACTCCCAGGCCGCACAGTGAGACGGGCCACGCACGCAGGCCGGGGAGCCAGGGCGCGGGGTCCTCTCTGCTCCCCCAGCTCCTCCCGCCAGCTGTGCCAATTCCTAGCATTCAGCTACAAAGAGAAATCCCGAGCCGAGGGGCACGAGCTGACAGCTGAAGATGAGCTGTGACCAACGGACACCAGAGGGGTCCGCCACCCAGCCCCATTCGAGAAGGGGCGAGTGTGTGTGCCCACGTGTGCACGCGCGGTCACGCATCTGTGTGAATGTGAAGTCCTGTTCGTCCCCTTCCAAACCCTTCAGTCCTGCCCCACAGGTGGGAGCTCCCCTTACTCTGGGACCCTTTTTAATTCTTCTCTTTCACAAGCGAAACACCTGTAGGAGAATCCCATCAGAGCGCGTATCAGGCTGTCCGATCTGGGAATGGAGGGGAGAGAACGGGCCACAAACACAGGGACGGCGGTGCCTCCGGCTGCAAACCGGGAGCCCAGCGCCGACCCCGCGGGCTAATTCCACCATCGCGCGCAGTTGTGGTCTCTGCGAAAACCGTGTCGTCTGGGTCTCGGAAGACAGGCCAATGTTTAAAATATGCTGCGACTACTTACTCAGTCTCAAGGTAACACGGCCGAGGATGAAGACACAGGTACGCGAGAACCCTGCCTGGAAAAGCCACGAAGATTCTCAGCCTGCTCACCTCACCAAGACTGGGGCGCCTGGGTGGTGCAGTCACTTAAGTGTCTGACCTCGATTCTGGCTCAAGTCATGATCTTCACAGTTGTGAGGTCAAGCCCGAGGTCCTCGGGGTCTGAGTGTGGAGCCTGCTTAAGGTTCTCTCTCGCGCTCTCTCTGCCCCTCCCCTGATCGCACTCTCTTAGAAATTAACATTAAAAAAAATTTTTTTAAGCCCCAAAGTACCTTTAAAAAAACAAAAAAACTAAGGTTAAAACTACACACACACACACACACACACACACACACACACACACACACACACACACACAATCTCTCTCTCTCTCTCCCCCATGCATGCATGCAAATACACATATTCAGAGAAACTATTCTAGCATCATGAACAATGAGAAAGGCCCAGGCGCCTGGGTGGCTCAGCTGGTTAAACATCTGACTTCAGCTCAGGTCATGACCTTGTGGTTCATCAGGAGTTCAAGCCCCACATCAGGCTCTGTGCCAGCAGCTCAGAGCCTGCTTTGGATTCTGGGTCTCCCTCTCTCTTTCTGCCCCTTCCCCTCCCTCCCTCCTTCCCTCTCCGTCTCAAAAATACACATTAAAGAAAAATTTACAAACAACATTAACAAGAATGAGAAAGGACATGTGTAAAGAACAGCTCCACAGGGGCACCTGCATGGCTCACTCACTTAAGCGTCTGACTCTTGATTTTCGGTTTAGGTCATGATCTCTCAGTTCCTGGGATCAAAACCTGAGTCGGGCTCTGCACTGACAGTGTGGAGCCTGCTTGGGATTCTCTCTCTCTCCCTCTCTCTCTTGCACTCCCCTGCTCGCCTGCACTCTCACAAAATAAAAACAGCTCCACAAGGGGAGGGATTACAGTATGTTCCCACCATCTCTTAGTAATTCTAGAACATGGCAGGTCAGGAGATCTCTCTGGCCCACACATACCTGGCCCCGACTCCATCCATTCTGCAAAAAAGGTTAGCTGTGTGTCACAAGTGCCCAGTGAGATCTGTGATCCCCATGGCTCCCTGACTTTAAAATGCAGTGAGAACAGGAGCGAGGGGTCAGTGACAAGCCACTGACCCGGGTGACACAGCCCTTCACCGTGTGCCTTCCTCCAGGCTGTGCCTTCCGGGTCCCGGGAAATCACTGTCCAAGGACGGAACACTGGGACAATGACAATGGCAGACCCTGAGGCCATTCTTCAGAGTTTCCCAACAGGATCCGTGTTATCTAACGCGACCTCGAGCAGGGGGCAGTGGGGGCTGGAGAACAATGTGACCCGTGAGCTGCGATCCTGAGGTACAGGCTGACGTGTGCGGGGTGAACCGCCCCCGGGCACACGGGGACTGCTCAGTGGTGCGTGTGCCCGTGCACGCCTCCTGCCCCCAAGTCCTGGCGGAGATGCTAACTTGTCACGTTAAGAACGACAGAGAAGCGGTCCAGGACTGTCCCCTGACAGCGCGAGGCAGTCTGCGGGCCTGTCTTCAAGGTACAGCTTCTCCAGGCTTGAGAGGACGACCGAGCTCAGAGCCATCGGGCGCCAGGACACAGGTGGAGGAGGGGCAGTGAAGGCGACAAGTCGCTTTGCCCAGCCAACAGGCGCCAACACACCAGACCCACCAGAGGGAGGCGCCTGGAGTCTGGAGCAGGTGCCAGAGCCGCTCCCACGAGAGGCCTGCACACCCAGCACCTCTGTGCCAACACCGTGCTTCCCTCCCCAGCTCACCTCTGGCCGTCACCCTCCTGGCTTCCTGAGCCCTCTAGGTACGGATTTCTCGAGGCGACCACTCCCACGTCCCCTTCAGTTAAGATGGTGACACGGGGACACGGCACCTGGCGGGCAGGCCCCGTCCGGGCCGGAGCGGGGTCACCTGTGCGGTAAGGCCGGGTTTACCTGCTTCCGTAAGTCCTGAGCCGACCGATGCAGAGGGGGGTGGTGGTGGTTAGCAGCGAGCCCCTTGGCCGAGGAACCCGTGGAGGGGGCCGCTGGGGGCGGGGCCGCTGACGCCTGTTCCCTCCGGCTGTCAGTCCGGTGATCGCTGTGCTTCTCCTTCCCGGGAGTGGCTTCTTTGCTTTTGTGTTTTTGAACAGGTTCTTTCTCCCGTGGAGACCTGCTGGAACCATTGAAAACTAGGAAGGAAAGAGGGACAATGAGGTCACCACATTAGATTCTGCCACCATCCAGCATCAATGCCCGGAAGCCAGGGAGAAAGCCAAGTCCCCGTATCTCGAGCCACCCCAAGACCACAACACCACCTCCACCGCCACAGCCTAAACTACGGGAACAGTCCTAGGCCCCGGGACAAAAACCATTATAAAGCATACCCAAAGAATTATTTGCTTTGGTTGAAAAGACTGAAAAAAATCTATTTTTAAAAAATCCCTACCAAAACAAAACAAAACAAAAACCCAGCGGCCCTCAGAACATCAACATCACACGTTTAAAAAAAAGAAATGAACACACAGTCAACATCCCAAGAACAGAACCACCTGGTGTATGAAGATACGGGGCATATGGAATGAAGTCGTATCTTCTCCAATTTAAAGTTATGCATTCTAGGGACGCCTCAGTCAGCTAAGCGTCCGACTTCATCTCAGGTCATGATCTCACGGTTTGTGAGTTTGAGCCCCACGTCGGGCTCTGCGCTGACAGCTCAGACCCTGGAACCTGCTTTGGATTCTGGGTCTCTCTCTCTCTCTCAAAAATAAACATAAAAATAAACATAAAAATAAACATATAAACAAATAAACAAAGTTGCGCATTCTGAGACTGAAGATCTGCTCACCATCCCGTCGGTGACCAGAGAAGCGAGAGAGGGCAACAGAGCTGGACCTGTTTCTCTTCCAGAAGCCCTAACAGCAGGAGCAGCCAATGCATTTCATGCTTGCCACAAGCCAGGTGAGCCGGCTACGGCAGTGAGGCACACTCACTGCCTTTACGTCCAAAAGGACAGGCAACACGTCGTCAGGCCCATTTTACAGATAAGTTGGAGGAGTCGTCATGCTGCCCGTCACCAGCACCGGCAGGCTGGCCTGCCTCCCAAGCTCACCGCCTCCCCGGTCCCCAAACATGTGCCATGATGCCACCCACCCAGGCAATTCCAAAGAGAACAGCAACACCCAGCAACTTTGACGGTCAATTCTGTTCCTGCCAGGAGTTCTTTTTTCCACATTACAGCTGGGGCTTGTGAGCCCGGATTGGGGGGGGGGG